AGCTCCTGGGGACCTCCTGCTGCTTCCCCCTGGCTCCCAGCCCCGCAGGCCGAGAGCCCCCAGGAGAGGAGGGAGGAGGGCTCCAGGCCAGATGCCCCCTCCCTCTGGGGCGTGCAGCAAGGAGGGCGGGGCCCCGGCTCTGCTGAGGGGGGAGCAGGCTGTTCTGGTGGATGATGGACGTCAGTCAGGGAGGGTCTGGCTGCCCCGGGGTCCCTGCACCTCACCAGTGGGGGACGGGGGGCATTAGGCTGCCCCCGGGGTCCCTGCATCTCACCATCGGGGGGCGGGGGGCGTCAGGCTACCCCTGGGGTCCCTGCATCTCACCATCGGGCGGCAGGGGGCGGCAGGCTGCCCCTGGGGTCCCTGTACCTCACCAGCGGGGGGCAGGGGGCGTCAGGCTGCCCCTGGGGTCCCTGTACCTCACCAGTGGGGGGCAGGGGGCGTCAGGCTGCCCCTGGGTCCCTGCACCTCACCAGCGGGGGCAGGGGGTGTCAGGCTGCCCCTGGAGTCCCTGTACCTCACCAGTGGAGGGCAGGGGTCGTCAGGCTGCCCCTGGGGTCCCTGCACCTCACCAGTGGGGGGCAGGGGGCGTCAGGCTGCCCCTGGGGTCCCTGTACCTCACCAGTGGGGGGCAGGGGTCGTCAGGCTGCCCCTGGGGTCCCTGCACCTCACCAGTGGGGGGCAGGGGGCATCAGGCTGCCCCGGGGTCCCTGCACCTCACCATCGGGGGGTGGGGGGCGTCAGGCTGCCCTGGGGTCCCTGCACCTCACCGGGGGGCAGGGGGCATCAGGCTGCCCCTGGGGTCCCTGCACCTCACCAGCGGGGGCAGGGGGCGTCAGGCTGCCCCTGGGGTCCCTGTACCTCACCAGTGGGGGGCAGGGGTCGTCAGGCTGCCCCCTGGGGTCCCTGCACCTCACCAGTGGGGGCAGGGGGCATCAGGCTGCCCCTGGGTCCCTGCACCTCACCATCGGGGGGTGGGGGGCGTCAGGCTGCCCTGGGGTCCCTGCACCTCACCATCGGGGGGCAGGGGGCGTCAGGCTGCCCCTGGGGTCCCTGCACCTCACCATCGGGGGGTGGGGGGCGGGGGGCGTCAGGCTGCCCCTGGGGTCCCTGCACCTCACCAGCGGGGGGTGGGGGGCGGGGGGCGTCAGGCTGCCCCAGGGGTCCCTGTACCTCACCAGCGGGGGGTGGGGGGCGGGGGGCGTCAGGCTGCCCCGGGGTCCCTGCACCTCACCAGCAGGGGGCAGGGGTCGTCAGGCTGCCCCGGGGTCCCTGCACCTCACCAGCAGGGGGCAGGGGGCGTCAGGCTGCCCCGGGGTCCCTGCACCTCACCAGCGGGGGGCAGGGGGCGTCAGGCTGCCCCGGGGTCCCTGCACCTCACCGGGGGGCGGGGGGCGTCAGGCTGCCCCGGGGTCCCTGCACCTCACTGGGGGGCGGGGGGCGTCAGGCTGCCCCGGGGTCCCTGCACCTCACTGGGGGGCGGGGTTGGCGTGTTGGTTCATGTGGAGACTCCCCGCCTATTGAGACGTCAGTGACCCTGGTAGTTTGAAAACACTTTGTTCTTGAGAACAAATGATTTTTGGAGGTTTTTCAGCGGGGAGTGGGGGTAGGGGGAGAGTGAAGATGGGGGAGGGGCCCTGGGGGGCTGGGAAGCACAGAGGAAGCTCCTGGCTCCCGGCTTCGGCCTGCCCAGCCCTGGGCATTGCGGCCATCTGGGGAGTGAACCAGCAGATGGAAGACCTCTCTCTCTCCCTCTACTGCTCTGCCTTTCAGATAAATAAACCCTTAAAAATAAGTTTATTTTATAAAGGAAACATCAATTCCGCGAATTCCTTTTGTACGCATTCTCCGTGTCCTGCAGCTGGAGGCACAGGCCGCCGCAGCTTTACTCTCGTGTGCTGCTCTGGGCCCTGGCACCAGCGCCATGAACGCTGCGTCGGGAAAGCGTGAACCTGCACACCTACTATGACTCAAACTCCGGCACTTTTATCTAGGGGATTTTTTTTTTTTTTCATCTGAATGGCAGAGAGACAGGCAGACGGGGGGAGGATCTTCCGTCTGCTTCCAAAAGCCCTTAAACAGCCAGGGCTGCAAACTGCCCGGATACCCCCGTGGGGGGCAGGGACCCGATGACCTGAGCCTGCCCCTGCGACCTCCAAGGGTGCGCCTCAGCAGGAAGCTGGATGGGAGCGGAGTTGGGACTGGGACTCGGGCACTCGGATATGGGATGTAGGGGGTGAGGTGGGTCCCAACAGGTGCGCCAAACGCCAGTGGGGTCTGGCAGTTTGGGAAGAAGCCGGCGAGCCCTAACCCAGATGGTTCTCCCGCAGCATCTACTGCCGGGGCTGCCACAAGCCCCTGTGCTGCTCGTGTGCGCTCCTGGACAGCGGCCACAGCGACCTCAAGTGCGACCTGAGCGCCGAGGTGCTGCAGCGCCAGGACGAGCTGGACGCCACGGCGCGCGCGCTGCGGGAGCGCGGCGGCGCCTTCGGGGCTGCGCTCGCGCAGGTGCGCGCGGCCATCGGGCAGCTGGGCCGCGCGCGCGCCGACGCCGAGGACCTGATCCGCGAGCGCGTGCGCCAGGTGGTGGCACACGTGCAGGCGCAGGAGCGCGAGCTGCTGCAGCAGGTGCACGCGTGCTACCAGCGCGACTATGAGGAGCTGGCGGCCCGGCTGAGCCGCCTGGAAGCCGTGCTGCAGCGCATGCGCACGGGCGGCGCGCTCGTGCGGAGGATGAAGCACTACGCGTCGGACCAGGAGGTGCTGGACATGCATGGCTTCCTGCACGAGGCTCTCTGCCGCTTGCGCCAGGAGGAGCCCCAGGGCCCGCAGGCCGCCGTGCGCGCTGAGGGCTTTGACGAGTTCAAGGTGCGCCTGCAGGACCTCGTGGCGCGCGTCACCCAGGCCACAGGTGAGCACCAGGGCCACCCTCGCCGCAGCCCCCTGGGGTTTGGTCAGGGCACGGCTCATGTTAGCCCTTGAGGGGCCAGCCCCCCTGTGTGCAAGAGCAGAGAGGACCCCTGTGGTTGGGGTCAGGGCAGAAGGGAGCAGAGCGACCCTCCCTGGGCGGCTGGGTGCCGTGGCTTTGGGGAGGAAGTGGCAGCTCATGGCTGTGCAGTGCAGACCGGGAGCTGCAGCAGCTCCGTGAGCCTGAGACTCCCGTGGGGAGGAAGGCGGGGGGCAGGGGGACTGCACGAGGGGTCCCAGGGCTCTTTGACTGAGTCCTGAGCTGGACGTGAGCCCGAGCAGCTGGGGGAGGGGAAGAGAAGAGAGGCTGCGGGCTCTGGAGGCACCCAGGCAGGTGCCAGGGCACGAGGGCTCGCTCTCTTCTGCCGGAGCCGACGGGAGGACATGGGCTTGTGCCCCCACCACCCAGGCAAGGAGCGGACAGCCCCATGTCCCGGAAGTGACCCCACAGGGTTTGGACAGCTGCCTGGCATTGTGGCTGGGCGGTGGCGGGGAGCAGGCTTCACTCTTCGAAGCCCAAGGGATCGTGGTTGGGTTTTGTCCACCGGCTACTGGGCAGTGCAGAGCCTGTGAGTACCAGCGGCTTCAGGGCCGCCCACCCTCTGCCCTGCTGACGGCCCGGAGACGGGCAGGGGTGCCCTTGGGGTTCCAAGCCACAGGCAGGTGCACTGTGACGCCGGCTCCCTGGGCCTGCGCTCGTGCCCACTGCGGTCGGGAGGGCTTGCCTCCGTGGAGGTGCCAGGGAGACGGATAAGTGTCTGGAAAGAGCACCAGACACGTCCTCTGTCTGCCCCAGCCCGAGGTGCCGCTCACCTGCCCATGATCTTCTCTGTGTCCCCAGACGCAATTCTGTCCAGGAGAACCAGCCCGCAGTCTGCCAGTACCCCCGGCGACCTGCTGCATGTGGACCTGGTGAGGGGCCCGCGGTCTGGCGGGCGGGAGGCCGCTGGCCCCGTGTCTGCGGAGGGAGGGGCTGTGTGTGGGAGGGGTGGTGCTTCCCGGGAAGCCCTTACACGGGGGTCTGCTGCTCAGGGGCCCTCGGGGCTGCCGTGGGTCCCACCTGGTGGCCGGGGGTGCACCTTGACAAACTGAGAGCTGTGTGTGTAGAACAGGTGGAGCAGGAAGTGGCCAGGGCCACACCCCGACACAGGGGGCAGGTGCCCCCCCACCCCACCTCCACATGGGAGCCTTCTCCTGGGGTCCCCTACGCAGACTCAGACCCTCCTCCTCCTCTTCCCCCACACGTGGCTCTTGGGGACATTCAGAGTGGGGCAGGTGTCCTGTCTCTGTCCCAGCAGCTGGAGTCTCCCGGCTGATTCTGGGGCCTCTGGGGGCTGGCTGGCCCCCTGCTCCTCCCTCTGCGGAGTCTGGAGGTGCCCCCCTGCCCTGCACACCTGCACCTCCGGGCACGGGAAGCCTCTACATCTCAGCTGCCCCCACACAAACGCCCCTACCTGATGGGAAGGCCCCAGCGGCCCTGGGACTCGTCCCCTGTGCAGGAAATGGCCTTCGGTCCTCCCAGCCTGGCACTCAGGTTTGCTGAAGGCCTGCAGGGAGACACAGCAGGTGGCTGGACCGGAGCTAGCCGTGCCAGCCTGGGGCTGGCCAGTCCTCCGTGGAGGGCAGGTCTTTTGGTCGGCAGGCAGGGTCAGGGCTATCGGCTGAGGCAATCTGGAGAGGCGTCCTGGAGGAGGAAGCGCCTGGCATCTGAAAGTTTTAGAGCGAGCAGAGAGGGTGAACTCTTAACTGCCCCCTTCACAGAGGCTGAAGGAAGGCTCAGAGGGGGCTGTGGTGGACCCTGGCCCCACCTGGCTACTTGGGGATGGGGCAAAAGGCAAACCCTTGAGCACCTTGGTCCTGTAGCCCTGTGTGCACCATTTCAAAAGTAGGGAAAGAGGGCATTTTATTTATTCTTTAAGGTATTTATTTTAAAGATTTATTTATTTGAAAGGCAGAGCAACAGAGAGAGAGAGAGAAAGAGAGGGAGAGACAGAGAAATCTTCCATCCACTGGTTCACTCCCCAAATGGCCAGAACAGCCAGGGCTGGGCCAGGCTGATGCCAGGAGCTTCTTCCTGGTCTCCCATGGGGTGCAGGGCCCAAGCACTTGGGCCATCCTCCACTGCCTTCCCGGGCCACAGCAGAGAGCTGCATCAGGAAGTGGAGCAGCCGGGACTTGAACCAGCGCCCATACAGGATGCCGGGTGTTCAGCCATCTGTGCCGTGACGCCAGCTCCCTGTTTTGTTTTTGATACGATCGCGTGGTCAGCAATGAGACCGTGGACCCCGGGTGTCACCCACCCGGCCCCCACTTGTGCCCGTGCCCTTCTTCCTCTCTTTAGTCGTTTTATCTGTACCCTCTGGCAGCTCCTCAGGTCCCTGTGAGCAAGCAGACGGCAGAGACTGGTTCTCCCTCCCTGTTTCCGCACCCACTCTCATGGTCCCATACACACATGCAGTGCCCTGGGCCCTCCTCTAGCCTTGTGTCCGGTCGGGGCTGTAGTGTTGGGATCGCTCTTGGCCAGTGCGTGGTGTGTGTCACGTGCCGGCTCCCTGCCCCTGCAGGCTCAGGTGGACAGATCTGCCAGGAAGCGCCATCGAGCAGTAACGGGAAGGGCGGGCCTGGGTGCCCCTGCTCGGCTGTCTTTCCCCCTTGCTGCTGGGCGAGCGGCGTCTCGAGGGCGGGCGCGGGCTGAGATGGCCTCTGGCCTCTGGCGGGAGCTGATGCAGGCTGAGCTGGCAGCCGCAGGCGGGGCTGTCTTTGCAAGGCCTCTTGCTTTGCCTGCAGGTGGCTGCGGGTGACTGAGTGCGCGCAAGGGCGGGCAAGGCAGGCACTGGCGGGCAGCCCCAGGCGGCAGGAGCTGCGTGCCTGCCTTAGGAGGCGGAAGTTGGGTTCTGGCTCCACCCGCTAGAACGGGCTGGCTTGGTTGCTTGTGTTGGGACTGTGGGCCCAAGGTGGAAGACAGACCCCCGGGAGGACCCCGAGAGTCCCCCGACCAGGAGAGCAGGGGCAAGCAGCGGCTCATGGTCTCCTTCCTCTGCCTCCCTCTGCCTGTTGTGACGGCACAGAAGTGGAACAGAGAAACAGACATTAAGACAGACTGTTTAAAGCTCAGAGCAGCCTGGTGTTGTGGCTGGTGTTGTGGCACAGCCGGTAAAGCCGCCACCTGCGGCGCTGGCATCCCGTATGGGCGCTGTTTCCTGTCCCGGCTGCTCCACTTCCCATCCAGCTCTCTGCTGTGGCCTGGGAAGGCAGTGGAGGGTGGCCCAAGTCCTGGTGCCCCTGAGCCCATGTGGGAGACCTGACGGGGCTCCTGACTCCTGGCTTTGGCCTGGCCCGGTGCTGGCTGTGGCGACTTCTGGGGAGTGAAGCAGCAGATGGAAGACCTCTCCCCGCTGCCAGTAACTCTGACTTTCAAAGAAACAAAAAATATCTTAAAAAAAAAAAAAAAAACAGCCGTGAGCTAGCCACCACCACCCCAGGCAGCTGGCAGGGAGCACTGGCCCGGGAGCACCCCCACTTACCAGCCCTCCACGCTCAGCAGTTTCCTGCGGAGGCCGGGGGTCAGGCGGACAGGCTCGGGGGCCCAGGAAAGCTGACAGGGACGGGAGTTTCCGTTAGGAGACCCTGGCTCCTCACCTGGCCGGGGGCCCCCAGCCCCATCCCATGTGTCGCCTCCACGGTGCCCCCTTTCCGTGAGCCTCAGATGGCAATAATGAGAGCAGGTTGCCTGCGTTTTCCGCCATAATTTGAAAAGTGTGGTGTGGGGCCAGTGCCTGCAGCACCGGCATCCCCTGTGGGCGCCGGTTCTAGTCCTGGCTGCCCCTGTCTCTCCCTCTGTCTGTAACTCTACCTCTCAGATACATAAATAAAATCTTGAAAAAAAAAAATGGTGGTGGAATCCATGTAGCCTGGAACTTACCACTGCGTGCACTCACAAGCCTGTAGAGCCATGCCATCTGTGTGCTTCTGGAATGTTTCCACCCACCCCCAGGGAAACCCCCACCCGAGAAGCGGCCAGGCCCCACGCACCCCTCACGCAGCTCGGCTTCCTGCCTGCTTCTGTGTCTGCAGCGCCTTGCTCTCTGTGCGCAGGCCGAGCAGTAATGAACACCGTGTGTGCCTCTACTCCTCGCCGCCTGCGTCGGCGGCACGGATACGGGCCGTGTGCATGTGCCTTTGCATAATTATTTTTTTAATTTATTCATGAGAGAGGGAGGGAGAGATCTTCCATCTCCTAATTCTCTCCCCAAATGCTTGCAACAGCTGGGCCAGGCCAAAGCCAGGAGCCGAGCACTCCATGCAGGTCCCCCGCGTGAGTGGCAGGGCCCAGGTACTTGAGCCATGGCTGCTGCCTCCCAGGGTGCCCTTGGGCAGGAAGCTGGAGGTGGGGGCCAGAGGCAGGAACTGAATCCAGGCTCTCTGTTGGGGGACGCAGGCGTCTTGATCAGCGGGTTAATGCAGGGCTGGACACCCACCCCTCGGAGTGGCCTTTCTTTGCCCACGGTAGTGCTGTCGTCCACGTGCCCATGTGAGGTGCCTGAGCCACTCCCCCTCTGTAGAGGCCGACTGAGGCTCCAAGTGGCTAACGGCTGGCCAGGGGCAGGGTGAAATTCCCAGGGGGCCAGGTCCCTTGGGGGTGGGGGGCGCTGGGGGCTTCCTCCTGGTCAGGACTCAGCTGTGAGTGCAGCATCGCTGGTGGGCCCAGAGCCCTCCCAGGACACCAAAAGCCCAAGTCAGGGCCAAGGTGGAGGGGTGGCCACGGTGAGTTCGGGGAGGGCGCAGGGAGCCTGCTCTGTGCTGGGGCCGAGGGCAGCTCATTTCTGACTCAGCGTCTCCCAACTCTGCAGCCCGAGCAGGCACAGAAGATGCAGGCGCCGCCCATGGCCGTGGTGCAGTCGGTGCCCGGGGCCCACCCTGTGCCCCTGTACGTCTTCTCCATCAGAGACACCTCCAGTGCAGAGGTGAGGCCTCCCCTGCCCCGCCCCCACCTCCAAGGCCCAGGGCGCCCCCCGACAAGGCAGCAAGGCGGGGCAGGGGGCGGGATCAGAACCCAGGCCCTGGCCAGCTACACACCTGCCTGGGCCTGTACCCTTTGAGTGGGAGCTGCTCCCAGACCACGACAGGCCAGCTGGCGGTGGCCGCAGCCAGAGCTCGTGTCTGGAGAGCCGGGGGGAGGGCAAGAGATGGCGGGGGACCAGCAAAAGCAGAGGTGGCTGCAGCCCCTGACCCTGGCCCCTGTGCAGGAGGACTCCGGCACCCTCGTGGGCCGGAAGAGGAAGTCCTGTTACACCCAGTGCCCGCAAAAGATGATCAAGCTGGAGTCGGAGGAGAAGGAGAGGCCGGCCCAGAGCTCCCCGGAGCAGCCCAGACCCAGCACCTCCAAGGCAGTGTCACCGCCCCAACTGGACGGGACCCCCAGCCCCGGGAGCCCCAACGTCGGAGAAGAGGTCGACCCGGCCAACAGCAACCACGTGGCTGGCGATGACCCGGAGGAGGCAGGTGAGTGGGGGGGGAGGGCGCGGGGGAGGTCCTCATGGGACCAGACCGCTCTGAGCTACACAGAGCTGTGCAGGGAGGGCCCACAGCTGGCCAGGCCATCACACTTGGCACAGTTGGTGGCGATTCCAGTGCGGGGAGGTGAGGAGCTGAAGCACACAGCTTGGCCCCGGGGACCCGCAGGAGACATTGGTCAATGCCTGGACCCCTGCCCCCGGGTAGGACTTCGATGAAGTCCCTACCCGTTATCTCCTCCCCACCCCTGGTTTTCTGCAAAGCCGCCCACCTGGGCATCTCCTTGGTCTGAGCTGTCTTTGATGGACACCAGTGGATACAGGGAGATGGAGTCCCTGGGCAGGAGTTGAGGTCATGCCCACCAGTTCCGGGTCCTCCGCTCTCCGCCCTGGCCCGAGCCTGTGGCAGCCTTCCTTTTAACTCTACACACCCAGTACACAGGGCTGGGGGTGGGGACGGAGCACTGACTGCTTCATTCTTTTTTAAGATTTATGTATTTATTTGAGAGGCAGAGTTACAGGGAGAGAAGCAGAGAGAGAGAGGGGGAGAGAGAGATCTTCCATCCGCTAGTTCACGCCAAATGGCCGCAAGGATCTGAAGCCAGGAGCCAGGAGCTTCTTCCGGGTCTCCCACGTGGGTGCAGGGGCCCAAGGGCTTGGGCCATCCTCCACTGCTTTTCCAGGCCACAGCAGAGAGCTGGGTTGGAAAGGGAGCAGCCAGGACTTGAACTGGCGCCCATGTGGGAGGCTGGCACTGCAGGCCCCTGTGGTGCTTAGTTCTTTAGGATTGCAGAAGGTTCCAGAGTGGGCTTGGGGCGTGGTCAGGCGTCCCTCGCAGGGAGCCAGTTGTGAACTCAGGGCCAGCAGCTCCGTAGACCAAGCTCAGTGAGAAGCCACACGAGGCGCTGTGTGCACAGGCAGATGTGACCCAGTGGTCTTCACGGGCACGCACACACATGGGGCTCACTCTCGCCCCCCTGGCCTGGCCCGGGAGGGTGCCGCCAGCCCTGGCAGAACCTAACGCCGGCTCCTTGCCCCCTTCAGAGGAGCGCGTGGTGGTGATCAGCAGCTCAGAGGACTCCGATGACACCGAGATCGCGGTGAGTGGCCTGGGGCTCCTGCCTTCCCCCGGTCCCGGTCCCAGGGGGCACAGCCATGGCAGGTGACCCCCAGACTCACTTAGTGCATGGGGAGTTCTCCGACCACCCAGGGCTGCCCGGCAGCCTCTGTTCCTCCCGAATTGCTGGCGGGTGCCGCCTTGCAAGCCCTCGCTGGGGAGGCTGTGCCCGCTCTGTGCCACCTCCTTGTGCAGTGTCTCACATCCGCTACGAGGCAGGCTGGACAAGACCCCCCTCCCTGGTAAATGGCAGCCAGGGGGGGCCCCTGAAGGGATGTGAGGCCCCCGCGGCAGCCCTGCCCAGGGCCCAGACCAGCCATCGCACAGAGGAGCCTGTGGCCGGCAGCCGGTGACCCTGCTGTCCCTGGGACTGTGAGGCCAGAGCCTGGGCTGCCACCATGTCCGGCAGAGTGGGACTCTGAGGGGCGTGGGTGGCCCTGGGCCAGTCCTCAGGCTGGGGTTCTTTGTTGGAAAGGGCCTGGAGCCCCCGGGGACCTCCACGCCACACCCTCTGCCGGCCCTGGCCACGCACCATCCCCCGGTGGGGGCTCCCCCTTGCAGCGCTGCCCTCCAGGAAGCTGAGCCTCCCCGCCCGCCCGCCGCCAGCCTCCGCGGGATCAGCTTCCTATCACGCCTCCGCCTCCCCCTTGGCCCTGGCATTGGCCTCCACGTGTCCCCCAGTCGTATCCACCCACTTGAACGGCGCTTCATCAGGCCACCACCCCCGGCGCTGCCGGGGACCCCCGCCTGCCCACCCGAGCCCAGGAGCCTGCTGTCGGCCTGGAAAGGGCTGTCGGTCCGCACCCCTGTGTGCACAAGGCCTGGTGATCCCACAGCCGCTCCCTCCCCGGGCTCCTCCCGCTCAGCCAAGGGCTTCAGGAAATGGTCTGCCCACTTCCCTTGGCTGCTCAGGGAGAAGCCTGCTCCATGGGGGAGCGTCCCAGCCTCTTGTCAGAATTCCCCTGATTCCAGCCCCCATTCTGGGGGGTTACCCACGTCCAGGTCTCCCCGGAAGTCTCCCCAGTTGCGTTCCCATCTCCCCACAACCCCCCAGCAGCCCGGGCCCTAGCCCCCCTCTCAAATGGGCCTCTGAGCGCCCCAAGTGCTGCCCCCTGCTGGAACCTTCCAGTCAAACGCTCCTGTCCCTGTCTCCTGTTGGTCAAGGACTGATGGCCGCGTGGACCCCTGGGCTGGGTGGGGACACTGAGGGCCCTGCTCCCTAGGCCTCTTGGTCCAAGAAGCAAGCGCCCCGCCCTTGGTACAGTACTGTGCCCGAGCCCCCACCAGCAGCCTGGCTGCCCCCTGCCCCACGTCCCTGCCCTGGCACAAGGCCCGTGACTCCCACACCACCTGGCAGCCCACAGCTCATCAATAAATACTTGTTGAATGGTCACCCTGGAGAACCCTCATTCTGAGCCCTCCCTGCACCGACACCTGCTTCTCTCTGGGGGCGCTGCGTCCCCTCCTCCTCCCGTGCCAGGGGTGCCCTCTGTACCCGCTGTGCTGCCGCTGGGTCACACCCTGGTGCTTTGAGGGGCTGGCTCTCGGGTGTGCCCCAGGCTCACCCGTGCTCCTTCCTGGACTGCTTCTCCCACCCAGGTCCTGCCTTCCTGGGTGACCTCAACACCCTCCGTCCCGACCAGGCCCGCTGCCAGCCCTGTGGCCACGCCCTGCGCCTCGCCCTTGCCGGGAAGTACCCACCTCAGAGCCGCGCCCTGAGACTGACCACAGCCCCTCCCGAGCTCAGCCCTCCCCCTGCGCCTCCCTCCAGGGGCACCACCCCGGCCCTGCCCACCTGTCTCCAGGTGAGGCCCTGGGAGGCACAGGGAATCCGTGGCCGGCTGCTCTGTGCTGCCACCTGCAGGTGGAGCTGTGCTCACTCCCCCGCCCTGGTCCCACCCTTGCCATCAGCTGGGGCCCCGGATGGCCTGGGAGTGGCTGACACCTGACTGCAGACCTCCCTGCCCACTGCTTTTGGGAGGGCAGAGGGGGCATCTGCCTGCTTCTAAGACCCAGCCCTGTGTCCAGCCCCACTCCTCATCCTCCCGCAGGAAGCCCGCGCGCAGAGTCCTTCCTGTGTGCTGGGCTGCACGTTCCCTGCACGCCAGCAGCGCGGGCAGGCACCCCGGGTCCCGACCAGCGCTTCAGCTCAGGTCGCCTCCTCGCGCTCGGTCTCTCTGCCCCCTCGAATGCTGCCGATCTTCCTGCTTTGGGCCTGGGCCCTCTGCTCTTTATCCATGTATCCCCCCTGCCAGTGGCCTCCCAGCAGCCCCCCTGGGGGCCCCAGACCCGCCGTCTCTTCCTCTTCCCCCCACTGTCGCCATCGGCGTGAAGCCCAGGCCCAGCCCCAGGTGGAGCGCCCCCCTGTTTTAGCCAGCGGAGACGCCCGTGGTCCAGCCCCCTCTGAATCTTGGGAGCTGGGAAGCAGGGGTGGAGAGAGAGGCTGGGATGACCGCAGTCGCGGGGCAGCGCCAGGCGGGCCCCAGGCCGGCAGTATCCAGGGAGCTGCACACACACATGTCAGGTGATGGAGAATTAAACAAGCCAGAGAGTGCGGGCCTGGGGTGGGGCGGGGTGGGGCCCATGGCTTTGGTCTGTGTGGTCTTTGGGTGTATATATTTGATAAATTAACCATGACAGCAGCCCCAGTGTTTTAAGAAAAAGCATTAAAAGACAAAAACAAAATGAGATCCCCCTCGTACATTTTTTTTTTAAGATTCGGCTGCTTACTTAAAAGGCAGCGTTACAGAGAGACAGACAGATCTTCCATCCACTGGTTTACTCTCTAAGTGGCCACAATGGCCAGGGCTGGGCCAGGCTGAGACCAGGAGCCAGGAGCTTCTTCCAGGCCTCCCACACGGGTGCAGGGGCCCAAGCACTCGGGCCGTCGTCCACTGCTTTCCCAGGCGCATTATCAGGAGCTGGGTAGGAAGTGGAGCCGCCGGGACTTGAACCAGTGCCCATAGGGGATGTCGGAGTCCGCAGCTGTGGCTCCCACCTGCAGAGACTACATGAGCTGGGCTGAGAGTTTCTGAGGTTGCCTGTGCCTTGCGTTTGGACCACCGAACCAGAGTGGGGGTGCAGGGGTGTCCCTGTGCCGTTTGTCGGTGACTCAGCCTGGACTGGAGCTGACTTGTACATCCGGGCCACAATGCCAGGAGAGAGGGGTACGGGGACTCCCCAGACAAGCCTTCTTGGCTTCTGGAAGGTGACAGGAGCGGCACGGGGGCACGGGCGGCCTGCCGAGGCTGTGAGACCGCGGGGAGGGGGGGGTGATGGATGCACGAGGGGAGTGCAGGGAGCGCGTGGGAAACGTGCGCTGAAACACTGGGCGTGAGGCCAGCAGCGTCGGCCCCGAACTCGTGTCTCTGGACTCCATTTCCCACGAGGTTTTGGAGGTCCCCTCACAGCTGACTCGAAGGCACCCGGGGGCCGTGGCTGAGCTGTTTTTCCTACCCACAGCATCCCCAGGCCATAGAGTGGGAGAAATTCCTGCACCTGCTCACGTCTTACAGCTCACTGGCCTCTCTCTCTGAACTCTCAGCCTCTCCCCCTGCACAGCCTACAGAGCCTTCCCCTGCCCACACTGGGCTGGCCCCTCTGCACCCCCACTCTGCTGCCCTTTCAGGCAAACCTCAGTTCCTTATGCCCACTGGGCTCTGTGCCCCGCCCATACCCGGTGACCTTGATCTGTAGAGCGGGAGGTGCCCAAGCGCCTACTGCCCTTGGGTGAAGTCTTTTTTTTTTTTTTAAGATTTATTTGTTTATTTGAAAGTAAGAGTTACACACAGAGAGGACACACACACACACACACACACACACAGAGAGAGAGAGAGAGAGACAGAACGGGGTCTTACATCTACTGGTTCACTCCCCAAACTGGCTGCAATGGCCAGAGCTGCGCCGATCCGAAGCCAGGATCCAGGAGCTTCTTCCAGGTCTCCCACATGGGTACAGGGGCCCAAGGACTTGGACCATCTTCCACTGTTTTCCCAGGCCACAGCAGAGAGCGGGATCAGAAGTGGAGCAGCCAGGTCTCGAACCGGCACCCATTTGGGATGCCGGCACTGCAGGCAGCGGTTTTACCTGCTATGCCACAGTGCCGGCCCTTGGGTGAAGTCTTGTGTCCTTACTCCAGGGCTCCCCTGGGGCCTTGCTGGGAGTAGGGGATGGGGGTGGGGCGCTGTGAGGGTGCCGCTGGCTGTGTTCACAGAAGGGGTGGCCCTTGTGGAGAGGGTCTGAAGGAAGAGGAGTCAGGGCAGGGAGGGCCCCAGCCCCTCCGGCGTGAGCTCCACGGAAAGGGGGCGCCCACCCCGCCCCAAGAAGGGGCCCATCAGAGGCACGGCTCCAGGACCAAGGTCACTTCTAGGCGGGACGACCGCAGGCTCCGAAAATGAGGCTCTCGTGGCTGCCATCAAGAGCCGTGGCGCAAAGATGAGAAGAGCACGTGGCAGGGGCAGATCTGCGCGTGAGACCCGCACAGGGCCCCCGAAGGGACAAGGCCTGCAGGAGCGGCTCCGCTTGGCGCAAGCGTGAGGACGGAGACAAGGAAGGATGGACAGGCGGAGGAGGCCACTCCGGGGCTGTTGGCAGGAGGGACCCCAGCCTGAGCCGAGAGCACTGGGCCTGGTGACTGGGACAGGCATTGGGAGCCGCAGGATAGAAGCAGAGGAGTCTGCCGCTCCAGCCAGCCACGGTGCCCGAGCCTCCTGGGAGAAGGCCCCTTCTGGGTAGGACACAAGCCGGGAAGGTGAGGCAGCCACGCCGGCCTGGGGAGCGAGACGTATGCAGGCCGCCTCTGCCGGCACGGCCCAGCCAAGCACAAGGACACGCAAGGCCTGGGCAGACTCCTCGCCAGCTCCACGTGTATAGAGGCAGGGGCAGCTCTGCAGAGACCTGAAGCGTCTGTCCATCCGTCCGTCCATGACCGTGAACGGCTCCCGCGAGGCCCCCTCCCCACTTTGTGCTCACTGGGGGCGGTCATGACTTCACTGATGTTTTGTGGGAAAGAAATGTCACACTGGACTGATGAGGGCGCGACCATACGACCGTCTCCGAGACCTGTGTGCCCACCTGGGTGTGGCATGGGGGGTGCGGGAAGTCCTCCCCCAGCCTCTGCTTCTGCAGGGCACTGGGCCTGAGCTGGCTTTGGGGACCAGGAAAGCTGCTGGCTGAGGCTCCATGGGAGGCTGCTGCCCTCGGTCCCCACTCAGCATAGCAGTCCCCAAGCCTCGCCCTTGCACCTGCTCGCTACGCAGGTCCACTCACGCGTCCGCCCGCGGGTGTCCACACAGGTTCACGCCTCATTGCACAGGCACACCCACACCTGCGCCGACCTGCACCGTCTCCCCCTCACCCCTACTCTGAGGCGTGCGTGCCTGGCTTACACGCGAGTCCTCACACGCAACACACCGGCTCATGCACCCAGGGACGTGCCCTCTCTCCCACGCACACAGAGGCCCCTGCTGTGCCAGCCGGCTCCTGACGCCCCACACGCACATGCGTGCGCTGTGTGCGCTAGGCACGCCCCCTGACCCGTTGGTTGTTCTGTGTTGCAGCCCCGCCAGGAGCTGGACACCAGCAGCAGCGAGTCCAGTGACCTCCAGCTGGAGGGCCTCAGCTCCCCGCGGGCCCCGGACGTGAACCTGGCTGATCCCCACGCAGAAGACAGGCCCCTGGTCTTCTTTGACCTCAAGATCGACAGTGAAAGTGCGTTCTCTGGGGACTGCCCCCTCCTAGCTTAGCCTCTGAGCCACCTGCCACGGTCAGGATGGCCAGGCGCTCTGGCTGAGGGGGCGGGACACCCCCTCGCCTGGGGTCCCCTCTGTGACCTGCACCTGGGTGTGGGAGGGCCCCACGACACCCCTCCCCGAGCTTGCTCTGGCCTCACCGCGTCCCTCCCTGAGCCGCAAGCCCTGCAGGTCCAACATGAGGGGTAGCCTCGCTGGACTGACAGAAGGGGCAGGCGCTTCCGCGGACCTCAGCGCTGGCTCTGTGGGTGGCGCGGTCAGGGCAGGTCTGGCATTCCCGTTCCCGGCAGGGTTGGCGGCCTGAGCTTAGTGACTCTGGGACCGGAGGGCAGGGTGCAGAGGGCCATGCAGAAGCAGTCTGGGGTCTCCCGCATGGCTGGGTGGCAGCTGACGGGTCTGCTGGGTTGGGCAGCCTGCCCCTGCCCTCTTCCTACCCCAGGGCCGTCAGAGCCGGCGTCCAGGCTGCATTTGGTCCCTCCCAGCAGGCGCCGCCCCTGAGCTGGGGCCTCACCCTGCCCTTCTCTCCTGCCCAGCCCAGAAGATTAGCCAGCTGGCGGCCGTGAACCGCGAGACCAAGTTCCGGGTGCTCATCCAGCCTGGAGCCTTCAGCGTCTGCTCCAAGGCGGTGTCCCTGGAGGCGGGGCTGCAGCACTTCCTTGGCTTCCTGGGCGCCATGCGCCGCCCCGTCCTGGCCTGCTACTCGCTGTGGGGCCCCAGCCTCTCCGTCTTCCTCCGGGCCCTGGAAGACATGAACAAGCTGGGGGCCTTCCAGGAGGCCGTGTCGGGCTTCCTGGCCCTCCTGCCCCTCGTGCGCGAACTCGTGCCCGGAGCCAGCAGCTTCAAGCTCAAGAGCCTGGCCGAGACCTACCTGGCGAGAAGCATGAGCGAGGGCAGCGCCCTGGCAGCCGTGCTGGCCATGCGTGACCTGTGCCTCCTGCTGGAGGTCTCCCCCGGCCGGCAGCTGGCCCGGCACGTGCACTCCTTCCACAGCATGCAGTGCTTTTCCTCCCTGCAGCCGCTGGTGCAGGCGGCCATCCTGTCCCGGGCCGAGGCCCGCCTGCTGGCCCTGCACAAGGCCAGCTTCCAGGAGCTTCTGAGTGCGCACCGCGGCGACCCGCAGCAGGGCTTGGAGAAGTACTGCCGCTCCCTGGGCCTTCGAGCCACGGCGCCGGCCCCGGCCCTGCCCACTCCCAGGCTGCAGGCTCTGAGCGCCTACTTCCAGCGCCTGTCCGAGGGCACATCTGCCTCTGTCGATGGCCACAGCCTGGAACAAGGCGCCGCCCAGCAGAGCTGAGAGGAGGCGGTGGGCGATGGGGGCAGAGGTGGCCAGAGAAGGGGAGACTCCCTTGGCCAGGCCCCACCCATCTCACATTCCCAGCGCCCTGCTCCCAGGGCTCAGGTGTCGTTAGGTCCAAAAATTGGGACCTGACAATGCAGGGTCCAAGGCCACCCCCACCCCCCCAGGGGGGCTCTGAGTGGCCCCAGCTGCCCCACCTGCCACCCCCACAGGCGTCCTTGCACTCCTCTCCCATCCCCACGCCATCGCCCCAGGGGACTGCTCACTGCTCCCACGGGCAGCACCTGCAGTCCCACGCGTACCCAAAGTGCCTTTCACAGCCATCTGCCCCCGGAGCCTGGGTTCCCCCAGCCTTGGCTGGGCTGCGGCCACATCTCCTGGCCCCCCGAGCATCCATCCAGCAGACAGGAGCCGCTGCCCCCACCACCACCACTGTGAGCCCCTGGGAGAAGCTTGCTCACCTTGTCCCAGCCACACAAATGCCTCCCCACCCCACACACACCCAGGCTTCGTCCTCGGTCTTGGGCCCCCGGAGCCTTCCACTCTCTTTCCCAAGGACCAGCCCGGGAACGTCCCCCACTGCCCACACTGCCCAGTGCCGCAGGCCCGTGACCTCTGCTCCCACCGCAGGTGCCCTGGGGACCCTCTGGGGGCTCCTAAGGAATTGTTCCCATGCCGGCTGTCCCCAGGCAAGGCTGGTGATGGGTTTTATGCTGAACCCGGCGTTAATAAAGCTGTGGGTTTTAGCCGAATTTCTGAGGCTCCAATCATAGACTGCTCGGGCCACCCCACAGGAGCCAACGAGAGGCCTCTTGCCTGGTGAGGGGAGGGGGCTCTCCTCTTCTGCGTCCCACGTTCGGCAGACAGGGAGGCCAGGGACGCTGGTGATGGGGCGTGATGCGCGTGTGGGACGTCACAGAGGCAGCCTCCCAGGTAGGTACCTGCAGGGACTCCTGTGGCACCAGTGCGGGGGACTGCGCGCCCCGGCCTGTGTGGGCAGCCAGCTAATGCAACTGCCCGGCGCCACCACCCTTAACCCCGCTGGCCTGCCCAGGGCACCTGCACGTCTCAGCTCGACCCTTTGACCAAAGGCTCAAAGTCCTCCTGTGCCACCTGTGCCTCGTCTCCAGGAGTTTTTGTTTGTTTTAAAGATTTGCTTGCATAGTTGGAAGGTCAGAGTTACAGAGAGAGAGAGAGAGAGAGAGAGAGAGAGAGAGAGAAAGCTCCTCCATCCACTGATTCACTCCCCAGATGGCCACAATGGCCAGTGTGGAGCCAGGCTGAAGCCAGGAGCCCAGAGCTTCATCCGGGTGTCCCATGTGGGTGCAGGGGCCCGGGCACTTGGGCCATCTGCTGCTGCTTTCCCAGGCCCTGAGCAGGGAGTAGGATTGGAAGTGGAGCAGCTGGGACGCGAACTGGTGCCCATATGGGATCCTGGCATCACAGGTGGTGGCTTTACCCGCTGCGCCACAGCGTGGGCCCCTCATCTGCAGGTTCCACTCTCCCTAACCAGGAGGTCTCAGGGCTGGGCTGGAAGCCAGGGGCCTGCGGTTCAGCCCCCACTCAGCAGCCTGTGGTCCTGATCTGGCACATTGGGCTCTGTGAAACGGGCTCATACGGGTCACAAGTACCGCACAGGACCCCTGCAAACCAGGGAGACAACGTGTGGGAAGATCGCTTAAAAAACAAACAAACAAACAAAAC